GAATGCTGCACAGGGACAAAGAGAAGGGAGTGCAGCCAGCTTCTTTGTGCTCCAGACTTCGCTTCCACCTTGGACGCTGGCTCCCGGCTTCTGGTGCAGACGCAGCAGACCGTCCTCTCCTGACACAAACTGTACAGGCACCACCCAGAGCACCCAGCCTTGGACTAGGTCCCAAGGAAGAAGGCAGGAAGGAGGGAAAGAACCACTCAATCCCTGCAATGATGTGTCAGCTGTTGAACTATCCTTGCATTCCAGGAAAGCCCACCATGAAGTCAGTGTGAACTCCTTTCAGTAATTGCTGAGTTCAGTTTCTTAGGATTCTTTGGATTGATATTCAGAAAGGATTCCAATCTTAAATTTTCTCGCACCCTTTAACTCTGGCTTTGGGACAGGGTAATTCTGGGCCCATAGAATGAGGTAGGTAGTGTCCCTCCTCTTCAATTTCCTGGAAAAGTTTGAAGATTGGTATTAATTCTTCTTTAGATGTTTAGTAAAACCCACCAGAATCACCATTCGGTATTATCTGTGCTGGGAAGTTTTTATTTATTGATTCAAACTCAGAGACACTTGCATCCCTTTATGGTTCAGTGTTGGTGGATTTCATGTTTCTGTGACTTTGTCTGTTTCATCCAGGTTACCCAGTGTGTGTGTGGTTGTTCATTGTTCTGATAATCCTTTCTGTTTGTTGTATTCAGTATTTCGAGGAGCTGGGCTCAAACCTGGGGCTGCATCCAACCTCTTTTTGACCTCTGCATAGCGATATAATGTACCCAGTTTACTCCTGTTAGTAACCAGGGCTTTCTTTATTTCTTAGCCTGAGTTGAGGTCTGTCAATTCTGTTGCTTTTCTCAAGGAGCCAACATGAAACTTCATTGCTGTTTTTCCAGTCCTCTATTTCACCTATCATTGCTGTACTGTAGTTTTTATTTCTTCTTTCTGTTAGCTTCGGATTTTGTTTGATCTTTTTTAGGGGAAGGACAACACTCCTGAAGAACAACAGGCCACTGACTCGAGGTCTTATTTCAATGTTTGTGGTTGCAGCTGCACATTTCACTGACATTCTCACCACCTCCCGTGGATTTGGGATGCTGTGTTTTATTGTACTTGTCCCAAAATTATTTTCAAGTTTCCTTTGTGATTTCTTTGACCCAATGATTAAGAGTGTGTTCCCATTCCCATGTTTATTTGCCTTTTTCAGTTTTGAGAAAAATTGTTTTTGTATTTCTCAGATGGAACTTAGATGCGCATGCATGCTAGGCAGGCATCCACCGCTGAGCTACACCAGCCGGGTAGTTTCATGTGAGCAGCTCCAACAGAATGTGTACAGCAGCATGACCTTTAACACCTGTTTCTGCCTTTGCACGTAAATTTCTCTTTCTTTCTTGTTTTGGTTTTATATTTTGAGATAGGGTCTCGCTCTGTAGCCCAGGATGTCCTTGAACTTATGGTGATTCTCCTGCCTCAGCCTCCTGAGTGCTGGGATCACAGGAGCATTGTTCTTGGTTATTTTATTAGAAGAAAATGAAACACAGGCCAGGCTTGTGAGGCTCCTCTTCCCAGGGTGGACAGCTGCAAATGCCGTGCACCGGACTTTCTACAACTGAGTTTTCTGTAAGCTCTGCCTTCCGATGAGTTTTGCAGTGCAGACCTTCCCACGTGGACGGCCGGGTGCACGGTGCCACTGTGCCTAGAGGACAGGTCTGGAGTCCTGTCCCCCTCAGCAGGAGACGCAAAGCTGTCAAAGCTCAAGGTCACCTCTCTGCACGTCAAGCCCTGAGCTAAGGACCTGCAAACCCCGAGGGCCTGGAGCTGGGCTTCCGTAAAGCAGGCAGAGCCAACCCCTCTCTGTCCCTGGACACAGCCTGGGACGAGGGGGTCAGGGAAGTGGATGCGGCCCCCCAGGGTCCCTCCCTGCCACCTTGGATCCGGCTCAGCCTTGTGGAGCACAAGCTCTTCTGCCCCACCCCTTACCCCCTGACTGTTGTCAACAAACGAGTCTTCAGGGAACCGTGCTCTCATCCTTTACCAGGGGCCCCCAAATAACTCAGCCTGCCTGGCCACACCCCAATCCTAAAATCAACACTGGTGCAGTAGAAGTCGCAAAACACGAATGAATAATAACAGTCTTTCCTACCAACCACTTATTTTGAGTTTTGTTTTGAGCCATGGTCTCACTGTGTAGCCCACACTGGCCTTGAACTCGAGAGGATCCTCCTGCCTCAGCCTCCCTAGTGCTGGGATGACAGGTGTGCATCACCATGCCTGGCTTATTTTACTTTTCAGGTGGGTTTTATTCCTCCAGAAACTTGCCCACATGGCTTTCGTGGCATCAGGTTGCCTGTTCACTCCTTACTGGAGTGGGAAAATGACCGCCTTAGTCCTCTGGGGCACTGGCAGGGGCGCCCCATGTCTCCTCTCCGAGGAGGCCGCAGGACCTCAGCCTCAGGATCCCCATCACCGGAGCGCCTACTGGGCCTGCGAGGTGAGCACAGCAGACGTTTCCTGTACAACAGATGCCACCCAAGCAGCCAAGGCCAAGCCAGTAGGTCACCAGGCAGCCAGGGACGGGGGCACCTCTGGGGCCCACATTCGGGGGTGGCTGGCAGGAAAACTCCCCAGATCTTTGCTGTTTCCCGGTAACCAGTGCAGAGCCTGGGCAGCTCTGCTGCTGCCACCCTGGGAGTCCTGCCCACAGGGCCCGGAATAACCCTCAGCCCCAAGAGAGCTGCTGAAGACAGCGCCAGGGACCTCCGCAAAGGAGCCAGATGTTTCTCTAACATGAGTGACACAGGTATCCTGCTTCCCTTCCAGAACTGGGGCTTTGTCCCCCGACCCACAACTGTCGTGTGTGGGATGAATGTTTTCCACAAATGATCTTCTATGGTTTCAAAACAACTTTTCACCTTAAATACAAGGGCAGGAAAAAAATAATCCACCCCAGTGGACTTACACAGCTCCATGAATTAAAGGTTCTCACCTTATTTTTAAAAAATACTGATGAGCCAGGGGCACCAGTGGTGCACATCTGTCATCCCAGCACTCGGAAGGCTGAGGCAGGAGGATCACAGTGAGTTCAAGGCCAGCCTGGGCTACATAGCAAGGCCCTGTCTCAAAAAACAAAACAAAACAAAAAAAAGGTGCTTGAAGAACATAACTTGGTTTTAACAAGTACTCTGAAACTAAGTAAATTTAAGACCACCTTTTAACAATAAAAGAAACAGTGACACCAGATTTGAAAAGGCTGTTACTGTCACTGTGGTTTATTGGTAAATACAAAGTATAGGCTCTTGCAGTTCCGTTTTATTTTTTTAAAGCAAAACCAAAGAGATTAAAAATCAAGTACACATATCATCTTTCAAATAGAAACATAAATTAGTTTTGACATTCAGGCACTTAAAATGGAAGTGGAAGACAGCATTTCAGAAGTACAAACTACTGTTAAGACCCCTCATTTCCTCCTGAAATGTCTTCTCAGACACAGAAGCACAAGCAAGGACGATACAGTTCTAAACGAGGATCATTTCCTCGAACGAAACCTGAACACCAGCTCACAGGAGGGATCAGTGATCAAGGAGCTGTGGGAAGGGCAAAGGCATGTGTGAAACGCACGTACTTGATTGAAAGAGAAGCATTTAATAAAACTATTACGACAGCCTACGGCACATATAGTGGAAAATGTGTGTCAGGGAAAAAATGAATCCTAAACTTAAAATTTTACTGTATAACAAGGCACTTAACCCACTGAAACTGTACAGGAAGTTTCCAAAAGAAAGGATTTGGCCACCTTGTGACAATATTTCTTTGCTGGACTCACTGTGCCCGAGCTGTGCTGCCTTCATCACGGTGGAAGGGGTGAATTACAGCCCGAGTCTGACTTGGAAACCAGGCTGGCTTATGTGGACAGTTTCTTCTTCTAAAGGACAATTTAAGTCCTGCATACACCACGCTTCCTCACGATTCACTTAGAACACAATACAGTTAGATTAATAATAAAATAAACCCAGGCTTACAAGGTATCTATCCGTAGAAAGACTCATCTTTGGGTACATTTGACACGATTTTCAGTGTTTGGATATTGAAGACAAGAGCACTTCATAATAAATGATATATTTTACCAGTGGAGTCAAGGGAATTAAACTATTGCAATGTAATAACATTAATAGCAAAAAATACCAGCAGCTCTTTTATACAAATAGAAAACCCTTTACTGTGCAGCATATAAATTATAATCTGCTTGATTTAAACATGTAAACTCATTAAGAAGTTCCTTCTCACACTTTTTTACACTATAGAAGTGAGGGTGTGAAGACCGGGTTCCGATTTTTGATCAGTTTACAGCACTAAGCAAAAGTGACGGCAAAGGAAAACAGAAATGTTCCAGATACTCAAGGAACAAGATGTGAATTTTCAATTTAAAAACAAAGTCTCTTGAGTTCTAGCATGTAAATTAAAAAAAGAAGAAAGTCAGACAGCTGACAGGGATTCCCAGCAACAAGGTGTCAGAGGCCATAAAGAGGGCACTGATGATTGTGACCCTGAGAGGCAACCACGGTGGGCACATTTTCCTTCATCCAACGGATAAAAGGCTGGAATCACAACTCACTACAATCCGAGAACATTTTCCCTTGGAAAAGCGTTTAAAATGTCTTTAAAAATAATAATTCCTTCCCCAGGATTACAGGCAAATCAAACAAATACACAGACAAAATGAGACAGACATCATCTGTTTTACAAAGCGGCACCTGCGTACCAGGCTACATGGCACCCTGCCACAAGGGGGCGCTGAGAACACGGCCGAGAACCAGAGCTCCCCGCTCCCTTCCTAGCCACGCCTGTCTCCCAAGGTGCCCTAAATTAAACCACAAATTCACATTGAGGTCAGGGGGACTGGCAGAAGAATGCCCTCATGAAGGAGCTAAAAAAAAAAAAAAAAAAAAAAAAAATAAAATG